TTTTAGACCAGATGTCTTTGACGATGGGGCGAAAATCATTTATGACTGTAACACTGTATTGCCTTCTGTTAAACTGGCAATAAAACTTATATATAAAAAAATATAAGGTGAGAGCATATTATTTTTTTTACATGGCAGATTTCCATTAAAATTACACTGGAGACATCTACTGACTTTTCTTGGAAAACCATTTTGAATATTAGTGTGTACTGAGCAATAAACATTGATAGCATGAAATTTATATTTATTATGAAGATTCTATGAAAATGAACACAATGAACATTCTAAAGCAAATAAATATATTGAGATCTGCTGAAATAGCATTCCTTTATTCATATATAATGAAGTGGACATCTTTCACCTGACTATTAAAACCTAAATAAAATCATTACCAGTCTTTAGACATCATAGTAAAAAATACGTAGCATTTTGCTACCGTCGCAATCAATGTTTACCCCTGCATGGGTGATTAACCAAATAAATTGGGTTGGTATTACTTGATTTTTAGTATTTATGTTCAAAGAGAAATTACCACCCACATAATCTTACAGAACACTTAAAGGATTGTACTTCCTGCTATTGTCTAGACGGTCAAAACAGGTTACGAGCAGTGTCTAGATGGAGGAACTGAAAGTTTATTTGATGAGGTGAGCTGTGATGGAGTGTTTGAAAATGGTTTTGGTAGAAGCAGGAGCTTACATGGTTGTGATTTCCAGATCTATGGAGCAGCTCAATCAGTAGAAACATTTCATACGTGTAAGAGTGTAATGGAAATGAAGAAGTAAAAAATCAATGAGATATAAGGAGTGTATGGGCATTTGTAATGATGTGCATCGAAATGATGGGTAATGTCAGTCATGATAATCCCAGTTTAACTTTGCACCACAAAATACATTTCCCTGCCCCTGACATGCAAATTCTTTACAAAACTGCTTACCCAATCATTTCAACCCTTACCATTGTGGTGTTTTACTGAGATGAATAATGCAGTAGAGGTAAGTAAAAATGTACTCAGATGCACTTCCAGGTTGTGGGTGAAGAAGTGGACAGGAAAGTCGTATGAGTATTTGCACTTGGACATTCCTTCAGTAGTTCCGAACATGCTCGTTGTGACACTTCGCTCTTATCCTGCGTCAATATTGGAGCCGGGCAACATAACTTCATTAACTCGCATCCATCCTTAGTCACTTTTGATGGGAAACACCCTGATTATAAGACCTTCGAACCATCATCTATATTCATACAAGGCAATCTGCTCTTAATGCCTCATGTTAATCCAGTATAAAGATTGGCATGAAGCAATATATCTCAGGTCAATCCATCATCAATAATGATGCTGATCGCTAAATCCATGTCAACTTTATAGCCAATAATGACGCAACTATGGCGTCATTACTACATCACATGACAATGATGCTCTGGCGTCACTTGGATTATGTAAGACGATAGGGCTATTTAAACCAAGTCCACCAGGAGCCCCGTCAGGGTCTCCATTAGTTTGAGAGTGGCCTTTGGCTTGTTGCCTTTCTATATTCCTTGACCCAGGCCTGTCCTATTTCTATTACTATTTATAAAGTTAAGCCCGATCACCTCTAGGGACTGGTAATATGTCTATTTTCCATACTGTCCTAGATTTATACGATGGGGCCCCGTACCAATCCTAACAGCCTACCAGGCCCGGACTGGCCATCGGGCACACCGGGCAAATGCCGGCAGGGGAGGTCCCAGGATCTCCTCTGCCGGTCTATGCAGGGCCGGCACTCTCCTAGCGCCGGCCCCGCTGTTTTCCACGACGGGCCGGTGGGGAGATCAAGGATCTCCCTGACCGGCCCACATGCGGCCGCCGGCGGGGAGAGGGAGGGAGACAGCCAGCCAGGCTGGAGAGAGGACCCGGCGGAGCTCTAATTTGCAGCTCCGCCGGGTTCCTCTCGCGAGATCCGGCGCGTTGCCATGGCAACGACCGGATCTCGCGAGAGTGAACTCTAGCCTCACAGGCTATGCTGGCTAGAGTTCACTCACCCACGAGGACCACCAGGGAACAGCTCCACCCCGCCTGCCAGCGTGCCGGACCCCCCCCTCCCAGGCTAAAGGTAAGAAGGGAGGGGGGGACATAATGACTTTATTTTTTTTTTATTTACCCCCCCCTACACACACACACAATAACATTTATACAGCACTCTCACACCCATCACACACAGCACTGTCACACCCATCACACACAGCACTCTCACACCCTGCACTCTCACACCCATCACACACAGCACTCTCTCACACAGCACTCTCACACCCATCACACTCACAGCACTCTCACACACACACAGCACTCTCTCACACCACTCACACACAGCACTCTCTCACACAGCACTCACACCATCACACTCACAGCACTCTCACAGAGCACTCTCACACACACACAGCACTCTCTCACAGCACTCTCACACCCATCACACTCACAGCACTCTCACAGAGCACTCTCTCACACACATCTCACACAGCACTCTCACACAGCACTCTCACACACGGCACTCTCACACCCATCACTCACACACGGCACTCTCACACGGCACTCTCACACATACCGCACCCCTTTCACACACACCGCACCCCTCACACACACACCGCACCCTTACACACACACATACTGCACCCCTCACATACACACAGAACCCCCCCAACACACTGCACCGCACACATACACAATACTTCCAAATATATATATATATATATATATATATATATATATATATACACACACACACACACTACACTCTTAAAGGACCACTCTAGCCACCCAGACCACTTCTGCTTAATGAAGTGCTCTTGGTGCCAGGTCCTTCTAGGGTTAACCCATTGTTTTATAAACATAGCAGTTTATCAATGGGTTAAGCCTTCCCCCAAAGCCTCTAGCAGCTGTCTCATTGACAGCCGCTAGAGGCGCTTCCGTGCTTTTCACTGTGAAAATCACAGTGAGAGCACGCAAGCGTCCATAGGAAAGCATTATAAATGCTTTCCTATGCGACTGGCTGAATGCGCGCGCAGCTCTTGCCACGCGTGCGCATTCAGCCGACGGGGCGGATCGGAGGAGGAGAGCTCCCCGCCCGGCGCTGGAAAAAGGTAAGTTTTAACCCCTTTCCAGAGCCGGGCGGGAGGGGGTCCCTGAGCCACATATGCATCACATTACACCACAAACACAACACGACTAAAACCGACCTTATTACACAATACCACACCACGACCAGCTCACTCTACACACATGCAATACCACAAGCAGGCTCCAAACACATGCACAATACTCTTTCCTGGCCTTTTGTCTCCTGGTATCCATTTATAGAGACACCAGAGACAAGTTGCAAGGAAACACAGTGCAAGCATGTTATTAAATTTGCTTGCACTGTGCAGAACAAATACAGGACTTTTTTCTCATGCTAGAGCTCTTCAGCAGAGCTCTGCGCATGGTCTGCCCTGGAAGAGCATTGAACCAACATGCTCACTTTGAGAGGAGGCGTGTTTGTCATTGGTGATGACAAAACACACCTCATCTGCCCCGCCCCCTTTTTAGTGGGCCGCTGTGTTAAAAAAAATGCCCGGGCCGAATTTTTCTCCCAGTCCGGCCCTGCAGCCTACTACTGCAATTTGGGCATGAGTTTACTAGTCATTGTGTTTGTAGCTAGTTGTGCCAGATGTGCAACAAAACTGAAAAATCAAGGCTTTGACATTAAACTAGACTAGAAAATTACCAGGCTGCGATTAGAAAGGGTAGACAATGAAAAAAAGATTTAAAAAAAATTCAAATTAGGTAGGTTGTTATGGATGCATCTTAATTCTCATTTGTGACCAATCAGTATGTTGCGTTGAACTTGGATTTTTTTTTTTAAATATGTGACTTTTGGGAACCATAAACCAATTTTTTACCTTTTTTTGTACAAATCTGAAAAGAAACAAATAAAGGTACTTTTCTGTACATTCCTTTGTTTCTCCTACCTATGCAATAAAATATAGATATTATATATATATATATATATATATATATATATATATATATATACATATATATATAGATATATACACACGCTCACAATCTCCATTATACTTGTCATGGTGCTTCACTTCAACCTAAGAATATCCTTTAAATATATACAGGACTCACCTATATATTCTTCTATGTTCTTTCGATTAATAATAATTTTTTTGTGCTTTTAAAAACCCAGTAAGTGTGCATCTGTTTGATGAATATCTATATTATTTATTTAATTAATTTTGTTTTTTTAATATGAACAATAACTGCAGTTTGAAGTTATGGCCTTAAATGCGTAGTCATATTTACGTGAATTGTAGATGTCCCGTATATCTCATTAACTTTGCATTCGCACTTGACACGTGGAGTTTAAAATATCCAAGATATTTACTGTTTTTCTAAACATTCTATAACAATCTAAAAATATAGACTATGGGTATTATAATATGATGATGCAACCAAAGGATTTTTTGATTTGCTATAGACTTGGCAATAAAAAGTCAAATGGAAAGCTAAATCATAGCTGTTTCCAATAGCTTGGGTTTAGAAAGAGAATACTAAGCCAGATCTAGCATTAAGTGAGTGTGATGCCAAAGTCTGAAGCCTTAATACCATACATTTGAGCCATTGTCTCAGGAATAAATACCATATTCAATGAGCTTGGGAACTTTCACCAAACCAGTCAGAAAATGCAATATTTACTGTGTCCTTATTTTTTATGAATAACAATTATGTTTGAATTTTGAATTTAAAAAATGTATAGCTATGAGTATTTATATAATATGTGTGGTTTGCAATGCTATTAAAAGTCAGAGTGCTGATTGCTGTGGAATGCACTGTTGATCTAATTCTAGATTTCTATAACATTCATCTAAAAATCTAAGAAATATTTTTAAATAATTAGGTATTTTCTTGGGTGCTGGATGGGTGTAATATCTATCCACCACCTAAAACATCAGATTTAATTTAAATGGTTGTTTCATTTTTAAGTCACGTCTGCAGGGTGGAGCCTTGGTTGCAGCCTCCCCCGCCGGTGGTCCGTTTTAGTTTTTCTCTCGAGCACCGGGCTAGGGGGCAGCTCAGGAGCCCTCTTTTGTGCTCGCAGGCCGGGCGCAGTGTGGCTGCGAGCCGGGGGGCCGTTCCCCGTCCTGCTCCGGCTGTCCCAGCTTATACTCTCTCGCGAGCCAGGCGCCATGCGGCCACTAGTACTACTGGGATCGGGTCTCGGCCTGCCCCTGGTGCCTCCTGGACTTTGCAAGTTGGGAGACGGAATGCCAGCATCCCCATCCATCCAGCGGATTTCGCTGGCTGAGTGGCGGGTCGCTGCGGCGCGACCATCATCCCCAGCATCCACCTCCTTCCAGCGCTCGTCTCGGCCATCTAGGAGATGGAGCACTAGCCAGGCCACTGGGAGGGTGAGTTGGCTGCAGGTTACCAGCAAGGGGGCTCCTGGTCTCTCTGTGGGGTCAGGGGGGGTGGGCGTTCATCCGGTACTGCAGGGCTCACTCTCCCTGGTGGATAGTGAGTCTGACAGTCCCCCTCTTCCCCACCTGCTTACCATTCTGTTTCCCATGGGCCTGTCTCTCGGCTACTTACCTCTGACACCTCCAGGGCTGGGTATTCAAATGCTGGGGTGTGTGAGATGGGATCTCACTTACCTCTGCTCTCACAACTCAGGGTTTCACCCCTGGGTGTAATTCCTAAAAAAGAAGTTTAGGCAGATACATCAGTTATCACATCCTCATGGGGGTTCAGTGAATGATTATATCGCAGCGGAGGGTCTCTTATGCTTCGTTCGATGTGGCTGTATGGATGATACAAGCGGCGGGTCCGGGAGCGTTGATGGCAAAAACCATTGTTGAGTCGGCGTCTCGTCTTCTTCCAGTGCACCAGGAATGTCATAACCTCCTGGGTTGTACTTTTGAGGGGTAATACTATGTGGACCTGTGCCTCCCAATGGGGTGCTCAATTTCATGCTTCTATTTTTAATGGTTTTAGCTTAGTTTTGGAGTGGGTGGTGTGGGAGGAGTCTGGTTGCGACTTCATCCTTCACTACCTTTTTTTGTGTCAGTCCCGCCTATTCTCCGATGTGCGCTCAGCTTCTTCAGTCAGTCGCAGATGTTACGTGTTCCTTTGAGGTCCTGCTGGCCCCGGGACAAGACAGTGGGCCCCTACAACATGTTTGAGCATTCTCGGGATCGAGATTGACTCGGTCATTGGGGAGTGCCGCTTACCGGCGGACAAGGTGGGGGATATGCGTAGGGCAGTCAAAAAGATACTTTTCAGCATCTACAGTCGCTCTTAGGCAAATTGAATTTTGCATGTCGGATCATGCCGATGGGCAGGGTCTCCAAGAGGCGTTTGGCTGAAGCAATGTCGGGGGTTGTGAAGCCCCATGACTTTGTGCACCTTAGCCGGCCACTGTGGGAGGATTTGGCAGTGTGGAGCGCTTTTCTCAACGGGTATAGTGGCAGATCCTACTGGCAGCAGCCGGAGGTTCCGAATTCCAAACTTCATCTGTTTACAGATGCGGCGGGATCAGAGGGTTTTGGTGCCATCCTGGGTACGCACTGGTGTGTGGAGACCTGGCCGGGATCCTGGCATTCGGCTGGCCTGACAAGGAACATGGCATTCCTGGAACTGTTCCCAATTGTGGTGGCGGTTCGTGTTCCACAGCGATAACCTGGGGGTGGTATTAGCCATTAATAGCTTGTCGGCTTCCTACCCCCCCTGTGGTTCAGAATTTGAGGCGTTTGGTGTTGCGCTGCTTGTCCTTAAATGTTACTTGTAGAGCAGTGCACCTCCCAGGCATTAAAAACATAACAGCGGATGCCCATTCTCGTTCACAGACGTGGACGGTTGCCCCTGCCCGACGAAACTGTGGTACCGTGGACTGAACGAGTGAGGGCTTGGATCCAATCCTTGGTGTCGGATGTCACTTGGGCTCGATATGGTAAGGCCTGGGGTAGCCTTTGAACGGGAGCACAGTGGTTTCCGCTCAGTTGATGACCGGATTCAGGGTCTCTTGCAGGTTGGCGGAGGGGGCCTATGGTGCCTGACTCCTCTAGGCCAGTGTCCGGGGCGTTACTGTTGGGTATTATATCAGTCCTACCTCAGGTTTGCTTTTCAGGATTCGAGATGCGCTTGTTCCAGGTTGCATTCACTTTTGCCTTTGGGGCTCTATGGGTTGGGGAGCTGGTTAGACCCAATAAACAGGTCTCGGGTGGCATTCTCTTTACAGACGTTTCGTGTGCGGATGGGGTAAATCGCTTCCTGTTACAGCACTCCAAAACCGATGTTCTCGGTCGTGGGTTTGGGTTACCATTCACGTGATTCCAGGATCCAGGGCATGCCCCGTATCTTGCTTCCAGAGTTATTATGCCGTTCGCCCGCAGTCTGCGGGCCCCTTGTTGATCCACGGGGATGGGAGTTTCTTATCCAGGTTTCAATTTATCAGCATCTTTCTGATGTCGCTGGAGTCGCTTGGCATTCCAGGGAAGGAATTCAGGGGTCACTCTTTCTGGATTGGGGCGCAGGCGAGGGCTCTAATGGGGTCCACCTCACGATGTAGGCCTCGATTTATTTAATTTGACTTTGCAAGATGTTCTCAAGCAGGCTAAAATTTTGGTAGAGGGTCACTCCCGCTGATTTAGGTGTACTGCAACGGGGGTAGTGGCGCGTAAGGTCCTTGCCAATCCATACTGGATCAAGAGTAATCTGGGTTGGATCAAGAGTACATCGGGTAAGAAGGAAGGTCAGGGGTGATCCCTCCCCTAACCTCTTGTAAATGGTTTGGACAAATGGACGTACCCATTGAGCCAAAAGGCCGGTGGTTGGCATGGTGGTAAGGTAAGGCCAAGTTGGAGGCCAGTTGGTTGTTAGGACGAGGGGGGAGGGCAGGCGCCAAGGATTATTCGTGATTGGTACTGAGATGTGTTGGCAAGGACAAGTATGTGGTTAAATTGTATATCATGTTGATATGTTAATTAATTTGCTATTTATTGGTAATGATAATTGTTAAATTAGCAATAAAGCTGTGGCCTGTTTATATCACAAGGGTGGGTGGAAAAGGGAGTTTTGGTGTCGCACTACACAATACCCACTAGCTGCACACATGCACCAATCTAATGCATTTTAAGGTATTCATTTGATCTATGACCGAGTGTAACTCTGTTATAGTTGCAGAAGTGCCTCTAGTGGCTATCTAAAAGATAGCCAATAGAGGTGTACTAACCTTTCAATGTAAACATTGTGGTTTATAAAACTGCATTGTTTTACATTGCAGGGTTAATACCACAGGGCCCCTGCACCAAAACCACTGCATTGAGATGAAGTGGTCTAGGTGCCTTTAGCGGAAATGTAAAGTTTTTATTACCATTACTTATAAATAAGGAGGCAGGTGATGGGGGAGGCTCATAAAGTAAAACTATTATTTATTATTGTATTTATTACAAAAAAAACCTACACATTTCACTTAACACACATCAGTCCCTGGAGTTCCCCTTTAAGTTGCAATATTTATGCTGCATAATTGACAGTTATGCACTAAATTGAGAATTCAAAGTGAATTTAACATTTTAGACCAGAGTAATTAAAAGGATGCATAGCTGGTTTTGAGAATTTTTCCAGTTTGGTTGCATTGCCCTTGAATTTGAAATTCACTTTGAATTCTCCTTTTAGCGAATTACTCTGTAAATGTTTTATGTATAAGGTTCTCTTAATAATAAAATAATAAAAACAAAATTTCCAACAAATATATATATATATATATATATATATATATATATATATATATATATAACAATTTTCACGTCGATGCCACCAGTACTGACATGATACGCCATAGAAATATGTTGACTTTTGTATTACCTCATTCATTTCATTTCGAACTGGTTAGAGTGTGTGTGGTCTTGTGTCAGACAATGATGATCATGATTGATTTAATTAGCGTTAGTGTATGTCTAGCATCATTCCAGTGTGGTTGTTACAGTTTAGATTGCAGGGGTGCTGAAGAAACAAATTAATCAGCTAAAGCCACAGCATGCATTTGGGGTCTAGCATGATGTGAGTTCCTTTTACACAAATCTCCAGGGTGTAAATTATATCTCGAGGATCCTCAGTTTAAACTGGGTAGCTGTGTAAGAGATGCCATTGCTCACAGACACACATATATATTTTTATGACATGTGATATACTTTTGGAAATACAATTTCATAAGTAGACTATTAAAATATATAGCAATGTTTTAGGAGAGTGCTGGGTTACTGTAACTCTAGGTAGTTTTAGTCCAAATGTTAAGGATGATGGGTATTGTAGTGGTTAGAATAGAAATCTTATGCACTAATAACAATACTGATAATTTTAGCTGCTAATTCAGTCAGCTACAATTTGACAGCATGACTATTTTGCTTACACTTTGAAAGTTGGATTCTAGTCTGATATAATTTAGAATTTTGTACATTTTAAATTTTGGGGTATAGGAAGATTCAGCTGCGCCAAATCACTGCAGCCCTTTCTATAGAGAACCCTCCTCCTTATGTTGTTGCACGTTGAGGGGATGGTTTGTGGGCTAAACCCTTAATCAGTTTGTACCATAACTACTGCAACAACCATTTTAGGGTGCAATTTAAAGAGGCATTGCTATGACATTGCTGTCTTTAAATGACTTCAGAATGTCTCCGATATAAGAAACACACTAACATTAAGATTTTAAGCTGCTTATAATGGATTGGTTTATACACTAAATCCTGAGTAGAATTGCATTGAAAACCGACTTTCAAAATTGAGGCCACAATAATCAGACTTTAAAAAAATCTCCTATGTTGCATTTACTTCTCCAATTTCACCATTTTGGCTATAATTCTTCAAGCCTTTTGTCAACACGGTACAAGTCACTGCTTGGCGAATAAGCCCCTTAGTTATTGTCTTTCTATAACCACACCTTGTGCTGTACTTTAGAGGTTTCAACCTTTAGCCTTTCCTAAGCAGATAAGAAACATATTCTACTCTTTCAGAGAAGATGATGACTGTTATCTATCTGGTTTGAATTAAATGGCAAGGCATTTTGGAAACATTTTTCTCATTAGCGATTTCATCGTCTGCACTGGCGCCTGCAAAGGGTAACATTTTATTGTTCTTTTTTTTTATTTTAAATCTGCAGCAGACGCCACAAAAATGTAAAAGCTGTTCACTCTGATACATGCACGCATTGATACTGGCAGACTACACGTCCACCTTTTTTTTCACTGGGAAACATAGATGGACAGTCAGGGTATGGGAATTTAACATCTATAATTCATATTTATAGTAATTTATCATTCTTTACTCCCTTCGTGTTATTTAACCCAATACTAAGCAACAAATACTAAGCGCAATGCTGTATAGGTACATTTTTATGAACTGCTTGCTAGAGGGTTTAAATGTCTTTCATTCAAGGGGTGCTTTGCCTGCTTATAG